TGTTATCTTGTTATCAAAAGTAAGTGTTAAATTATTTTTGATAAATAAGAGATAATACATTATAGTAATTCAATCAAATAAATATGAAATAATCATTCATTTATTGATAAGAATTGAGGATAATGATTTTATAGGCAGGTATAAATTAATATAATTAAGTACAAAAATATTTTTACGGGCTTTAAGAAATAATTCTAAATAAAAAAATGTATAAAATAAATAAATCTTATTTTCAATTAATGTTTTACCAAATGTGCACATATCTCTTAATTAAGTATTATAATTAGCTTGAAAGACAACATTTATTAGTATGCCAATGACTAAAAATATAAAGGTTTTAATTTACGAAATTGAATATCGTGACTGGTTAAAATAGTTTTTTTTTTACATTAGGAGTCTTATGAATACAAAACTACATACGATACGAAAATCTATTTCAGTCAAAATACCAGCAATATTATATTTTGAGTTACAGATTAGTCACGGTCATGACCGGTCATAACCGGTCATAACCGTGATCCCTACGAATCAAGGAAAATGTTACAGATCGACATTGGCAAATTCGAATTACTATTCGGCATTTAAATATTAATGTGAAATATTAAATTTTTACTTAATTAATAAATTGACCTACCCGACCCGATAATGTGTTCTGTTTCATGAAAATTTCTCGTAACAGGTTATTATAATTTCAAAAAAATAAAAAAGAATAACTTAAAACCCGTTTTATATAGTAAATTTTTTGTATATAAAGAATATCAAAGTGCTAATTAAGTAGCTTCTACTACAATCGATATAACTATTTGATACCCTTTACATGAGTGCGTCGGGTTGTGCGATGTTCTTATTTTTTGTAAATTCTTAATAATATAAAAAAACATGAATACAAGTACTTCTACATATTCGAATTTATTTGACATTAATGTAAATGCTATATGATGAGCTCGATTTAAATTTTGATGAAAGTGATCCAATATTAACAAATATTAAAAATGAATTCCTTGCTTTTTTTGATGAGTTGGAGGTCCTGAAATGGCACCATCTCCTTTTACTCATCATGATATTGAATCAGATAGTACAATCGAAAGTGACTCCAGTTTTGAAGAACATTTAGAAGAAGATTATGAAGAAACTGATGTCACCAATTATGAAATAGGTATATATTTTTTAACATAATTGTATTTATATTTATATATAATTTTTATATTAATATAATTATTTATTTATAAAGATGTCTTAATATACGTTAGAAATAGGAGAAGAGTATTAAAAGGAAAAGGCGTTATGCAAAATGTACAATAAATTTATTATACAGTTTTTTTATTGATATAAATATAAAACTAAACATTTTTTTTTAAAATGTTATAAATTTTTATAAATTTTTTAAAAAATCTATGAATTATAATTTTTAAAACTCTAACCAAGCTAAAAAATCATAAAAGTTTTCGGTTAATTTAATCAATGTATAAAATATATATTTTATAAAAAAAATATTGAATAAAATAGTGTAAATAACAAAGCTTTTTAAATTAAACAAGTACAGTTTAAATTAAAATCTATTTTAACAAGGAAAAAAATAAAAAAATGTTTCATTTTTGTTACGCAAAATGAAAAATATTGAAGATCATATGAAACGGGTCCAGATTATCATGATTTTTATATATGCTTTCCTATTGGAAATCTGAGACTATTAAGCACTGAAAGGCCTCTTACATTTGCTTCGATGTCCGAATAATCTCTCTCAATTACAGCAATGCCAAATACATATTCGGTTTTGCTTCTTCTATTTAGTTCGTCACTTGCACGATGGAAAGAGTTATTGTGTCGAAAAATTAAAATTAATTTCTTTTATTGCAAGGAAACGTTAATCGAATTGGGTTAGATGCTAGTTTTGTTTATTCTTTCCTGGTTGGTTAATTTAAAATTAAATACAATAAATGCAACATCGAACTCGTTGATCCCGATCCCCAACCAAAAATAACAAGAAATGTTTTGTGTAACATTTTGAAATATAAAAATTGTCGTGAAGTCACCCATATCATAATTATCAAAGCATTTTTTTCATAAAAATGGAATTTATTATTAGAAATCATAAAGACTCATTTGTTCCAACTCAATTAAAATCCAGCCCTGTGCCAATTATGTTTTTACCTTTTAAACATCATCCGGTAGATCCTGGTGAATGTCATTGCGGAAAGTTGTACTCGAAAATACTTTTATTTGATCAAGAATATTGTAAAACTTGCTTATCCAAGTATATTAATGATATAACTGATAATAATACATATTTGGATTTACTTATAATTACAAATAATGTTCAATGTAATAATAATCATGATAAAAGGAGTACAGATTTTTGCACACAAAACATTCACGAATGGCGTGAATCTTGCTCTGATATTTTATATTTCAACCAAGTATATACACAATCTTACAGCAATGTGGATAATTTAACAAAATATTTTAAAGTATTTGAAAAAAATAGGAATTGTAAATTATGTGGAAAGTTAGTTTATCAGAAGCAAAACTATGATGTTGACTTTATAATTTGTTTAAATTGTTATAAAGCTGATTTTGGATGGGTAAAATCATCTTCAAGCAATAATGATATTCCAATTTGTTATTTACCATTATGGGATCAAA